CAACAAAACAATACAAATCAAATAAAATGAAAGGTAGCAGAAGAAGAAAAAATCTTATATCTGCTCCTACATGCAAAAAATAATATTAAATTCATACAATAGTAATCAAATAATAAAACTAAACAAAAAATCAACTCCTCAAACAGTAACTCTTACAAGTAATTTATTTATTAATACAACTACTAATGGAAAGAAAATATATATTTAAAATATTCAAATACTATTTCTTAGTGCAGGCTGTCATATTTTTAATTTCTTTATAATTCCACATTTTCACTCCTCAACTCTTCCTCACAGACAAATACCTGAAAAATGAATCTACTTTGAATATGTTTAGGTAAATTTTCATATTTGGCTCATTGTACAAATTGTGCAGTTTGTAAATGTCAGTATTTTGAGCTGTAAGAAGAGATGTTTTGTACGATAATCTGCATTACGAATACTTTTTTCTGGAGAATAAGAAGTGAATAATGTTTAATAAATGTTACCTTAGATTTCCACTCAAATAAGGTTAAAGTAGTGAACAGTAAAGGATGTGTTGTTGATGCCTGATTAAATATCTGCTCGGCTTTACTCAGTACTTCATCATGCTTTAGAATATTGTGTTTAATACTACGTCTCACATCTACAATTACTCCAAGAAATCTGATTTTACAAACTAATTCTAAATCAATCCGTGTATGGTTTGTTCTTTTCAAAATAAAATCCCAAAAAGAAAGCAACCCTGGTGTATTTTTGGTTTTCCATTTTGAAAACTTAAATGTAAATGTAATATCAAAATAAGAAAAAAATATCCACAGTGTTTGATTTTTGCTTCGCCTGTGTAAATTCCAAATTTAAAATATGTGGTTGTTTAATTACATAGCGATACCTGAAATGACGGAAGTCGTCGAAGAAAAAAAAAGGTTAAAATGACCTTCCTGCACATATAGTGGCAACGGCTGCACTCGAACCTTATTCTGCATAACTTGGAATATTAAAGCAAAATTTTTTCACAAAAAGATCGACTTCTTTTAAATAAGACTTATGTTTGTTTTTAAAATGCTCAGTGAAAACGAAGTGCTCCAAAATTTCAGGCCAAGATTTCCTGTTCCAAACAAAATATAAAGCTTGTTTTTGCTTTAAGCATTAAAAAAACAACTTTAAAATGTAGCCTTTTTTTCAGTTTTGCTATTGTCTTTATTTTAATATAGCTAAAAAAAAAAAACTTGATTATTCATTTTTCTTGTTTTATTTTGAAATAAACCAAAGAATGAACAGATTTATATCAACCAAATTTATTAGAATCTTTACCTATGTATTTGATGTACTATGTCCTGTTATGGTAATATTTATTTAACAAAGACAAAAATACATGGTCCAAGAGTGAAGGTACTC